ATATATATATATATATATATATATACACACACACACACACACACACACACATGAAATATGATCAAAATTTCACCTCAAATTAAATGGGAAAAAAAAAACACATTTTGCACTATTATTTAGATGGGTTTTGTGGGATTCACCCTTTCATTTTCTTATATTTTCTTGACCAGAGCTGTACCACTATAGAGATGTTTTCTGTGGATTCAGTTGTCTAAATCCATGCACATTTATATATGGTGTCTCTCAAAGAGTGCGCAAAGCTCTATGAAACTAATTTGTCCACTGTCCTTGTATTAAAGGGATAGTTCACCCAGAAATGAAAAATCTGTCATCATTATTCACCTTCATGTTGTTCCAAACCTGTATGCATTTATTTCTTCTGCTGAACGCAGTATTTTGAAGACATTTCAGTTTGAGTTAACTTATTGTATTTTTGTCCATGCAATGGGAGTCAATGGGTACCAAAACAGTTTAGTTACCAACATTCTTCAAAATATCATCTTTCGTGTTTCACTGAAAGGTTTGACACAACATGGAGTGCGAGTAAATGAATTCTCATTTCTGAGTGCACTATCCCTTTAATAGATTCACAAAGTTGGGAACAGATTTGTACATTTGAATATTTTGTTTCAGAGCTGGAGAAGCCACAGGTGCACTGCTTACCTCCAGCATTGATGACCTCAATGTTATTCTGTAAATAATAGATCTAATGTGCACAGACAGTGTCCGAGATTTCTGGTTGATTGACATTTGGACTGTAAAATTCTACTGATCATGTTTGACTATATATTGTAGATAAGTAAATGTTAAAAGTTATTTTATTCCAAATATATTTCTCCTAATTCATGTTTTTTGAGACTGGTCATGATGGTCTGTTTTGGTTTGACTGGTTCATTCGTTTTTGTTAGGTTGGTACTATTTTACATATAACTGGTTTATAGTGGGTTTTTATCACAAAGCTGACAGAGATGGGTCATAGATCAAAACTCAAAGTGAGCTTGAGTTCTGTTCGATCTGGACTCTGTACTAGTGTGGAAAATAAGTGATCCTTAAACAGTTTCGGAGGAGGTGCATGAAATATCAAGTCTTTCCAACTCTTACAACTAGTATACTTGCTTTCTCTTTTAAGAAAAAATATTTTAGCTTCGACAATTTTTTTTTTTTTTTATACCTTTTTTTTTTAATTGCGCACAATTCACGTTGCCAGAGATTTTCGGATTCAGGCGAAACACCGTTTTTTGTTTCTTTGTGTCTTTGTGTTGAAGAGCCCCATTTTGAAAGCATCTTTTGAAGCCACAAGCAAAAGCAAAATCTGGTGACATTGCAGATCATAGTGCAGTGCCAAAGATGATCCTGCTTTGTTTAAAATGGCCTTTCTCTGCTCCTCTGGACTGTAAGCGGCTCCAACGTCTGCAGGACAGCAGCTTGTCATGTTTCACATTAACTGCAAATGGACTAAACATTGTAAAAAGTTATGGCTGTGATATTTTCTCAGTTTCTTCATTTTACCATGTAACATTTATGTGACGAATCAGACTTTTTGTTGGTTTCCCTAATTCTGTACAGATGAATTATCAGTTTAATAAAATGCTGTAGATTTTCGTAGCATTCTGTTTCGTCTCCAGTTTTGTTTTATTCATACAGTATGTGACTCAGAAAACATGATTATTAATGCAGTTCGTTATCATATTCAGCTACACAAAAATTACAAAATTATAAAAGCACTTTCTGACTGGCCTTGCATTTTTAATTCAGAGTCCATGAAGCATGCCATATTTTGACACTGTTTCTAGAACAAACTTGTTTTCTAAAGCAAATTCAAGGGACATTTTTTTGCTGAGAATGTACTCATCCTCAGGCCATTCAAGAGATGAGTTTGTTTTTTCATTTGAACAGTTTTGGAGAAGTGTAGCATTCCATCACTTGTTCACCAATGAAATCCTCTGCAGTGAATGGGTGCCGTCAGAATGAGAGTCCAAACACTGCAGAGGATCCATTGGTGAGCCACTGATGTAATGCTCAATGTTGTCCAGGTTTGTTCTGGTGAAGAAACAAACTCCTCTACATCTTGGATGGCCTGATCTTGAGCTTTTCTCCTTACATCAACATGTCCTAATTGCCACCTATTTAAAAGAAGACACTATAAAAGAACATCTGCATTGATCTATGGTTGGTGTCTCTGGTCTACCTAAAAGAACTAATTAATCACAGATGAGAAGTTTAGGATGCCTCATTACAGTCAGTACAGGCAGACACTGCAGAGATGCTCTCTGGAAGATCAGCAGTACAGTCTTAAAAATACAGCTTGCAGAAAGTAAAAAAACATGACATTTTAGTTCATATGGTTAAAGATGACCTATTTCAAATTTTTTCTTTTTATTTTATTTTTTTTTAAAGGGCTTCTTTACTAAAAGAATTCAGTTCGAATCCAACTTGAACACACATGATGATTACTAATACAACTGTAGCAGGCCTCAGGATTGCTGTCACTTGGGCTGCTGCCATCAATTATTATGATAATGAAATACTCTATGCATAAAATAATGAGGCACTTGTCTTAGTCAAAGCCAGTCTTCCTCTGCATTAAGAGGCTTATGTAACCCAGGAGGACCTGGATAATGAGAGTACCAGAACTCAAAATGGCATAACATGAATACCAGAATGTTTTAGTATGTGGTTTGTCTCCTTTGGCTTTAGCAGCACTGGAGCTGCAGTAGATGATGAAATGTTCATTTTTAGATTATCTATTTTTTAAATATATTTCATGCAAAGTAGTTTATTTTATTAATTTGTTGGTGTGTTGTGTGACTACAGTTTTAGATTGATGCAGTTTTGCTTATATGTCCCCTTCATCCACTTTCCAGCATGCACTGGGGCATGAATAGTTTATTTGATTACATTTTGGCACTGTTTGTTGGTTTTATTCACAGTGTTGTTATTGATTTTGGTGGCATGTTTAATATATTGTAGTCTGGTGATAACAGGATGAATTTGTTCTTCTCTACAACAAAATAATCAGTTATT